GTAATACAAAGATAGCTCAACATATGAAAATCAATCAACATAATACACCACATTAACAAAATGAAGGGAAAAAAAAACACATGTTCCTCAGTCATAAGAAAGAAGGAAATTTGCAACAACATTGATGGACTTGGATGATGTTATGCTAGTGAAATAAGTCAGACAAAGACAAATACTGTATAGTATCACTTATATGTGAAATCTAAAGAATACAACAAGCTAGTGAATATAACAAAAAAGAAACAGACTCACAGATATAGAGAACAAACTAGTGGCTACCAATGGGGAAAGGGGAAGAGAAGAGGGTCAGTATAGGGGTAGGGGATTAAAAGGTACAAACTACTATGTATAAAATAAGCTACAAGGAAACACTGTACAACATAGGGAATATAGCCAATATTTTATAATAACTATAAATGGAGTATAACCTTTAAAAATTGTGAATCACTATATTGTGCCCCTGTAACTTATATAATATTGTACATCAAGTATACTTCAATCAAAAATAAATAAATAAAATAAATTTAATAAAACACATGATCATCTCAATTGATGAAGGAGAAGTATTTGACTCTTTCATGATAAAAAAACACTCAACAAACAAGAAGTAGAGGAAAACTACCTCAACATAATAAAAGCTCTATGTGAAAAGCCAACAGTGAATATCATATTCAATGGAGAAGGTCTGAAAGCTTTTCCTCTAAAATCAGGAACAAGGCAAAGATGTGCAGTTTCACCCCTTCTATTAACACAGTACTGGAGGTCCTAGCCAGAGCAATTAGGCAAGAAAAAAAAAGTCATCTAAATTGGAAAGTAATCAATAAAATTACCTGCTTACAGATGATATCTTATATGTAAAATATCCTAAAGATTCTGCAAAAAAATTGTTAGGACCAATAAGTGAACTCTGCAAAGTATCAAGACACAAAGTCAACACACAAAAATCCGTTGTTTTCTATACACTAACAATGAATAATTCAAAAAGGAAATTAAGAAAATAATTCTATTTACAATAGCATCAAAAAGAATAAAATACTCAGGAATTAACCAAGGAGGGAAAGACTTGTACAATGAACACTACAAAACATTTCCAAAAGAAATTAAATAAGACACAAATAAATGGAAAGACATCCCACGTTTACGGATTGGCAGACTTATTACTGTTATGATGTCAATACTACCCAAAGCAATCTACAGATTTAATGTAGTTCTCATCAAAATTCCAATGAGGTTATTTTGCAGAAATACAAAAACTGAAATTCATATGGAATCTCAAGGGACCCTGAATAGCCAAAACAATCTTGAAAAAGAACAAAGCTGGAGGAGTCACATTTCCTGATTTCAAAACTTTCTACAAAGTGACAGTAATCAAACAGTGTGGTACCAGACTAAAGAGACACACAGACAAATGGAATAAAATAAAGTCCAAAAATAAAACCTCACATATATGGTCAAATGATTTTTTTTTTTTTTTTTTTTTTTTTGCGGTACGTGGGCCTCTCACTGTTGTGGCCTCTCCCGTTGCGGAGCACAGGCTCCGGACGCGCAGGCTCAGCAGCCATGGCTCACGGGCCTAGCCGCTCCGCGGCATGTGGGATCTTCCCGGACCGGGGCATGAACCCGTGTCCCCTGCATCGGCAGGTGGACTCTCAACCACTGAACCACCAGGGAAGCCCTGGTCAAATGATTTTGACAAAGGTTTCTAGGTCATTCAATGGGGAAAAGATAGTTTTTTAAGCCAATGATGCTGGGAAAACTGGATACCCACAAGCAAGAGAATGAAGTGGCCTGTACTTAACACCATATATAAAAATTAACTGAAAATAGATCCATGACCTAAATGGAAGATCTAAAACTATAAAAACTCTTAGAAGAAAACACAGGGCAAAAGTTTCACGACACTGACTTTGGCAATGGTTTCTTGGAGATGACACCAAAGGCACAGGCAACAAAAGAAAAGAAGTGGTGAAATTGGACTTAATGAAAAATTTTAAATTTATGCATCAAAAGATACTATCAACCAAGTAAAAAGACAACCTATAGCATGGGAGAAAATATTTGCAAATAAGATATACAAGGTATTAACACGCAGAATACGGAGAACTCCTAAAACTCAACAACAACCAAAAAACCAACCTGATTCAAAAATGAAAAAAATAGGGGCTTCCCCGGTGGTGCAGTGGTTGAGAGTCCGCCTGCTGATGCAGGGGACAGGGGTTCATGCCCCGGTCTGGGAAGATCCCACATGCCATGGAGCGGCTGGGCCTGTGGGCCATGGCCGCTGAGCCTGCGCGTCCGGAGCCTGTGCTCCACAACGGGAGAGGCCGCAACAGTGAGAGGCCCACGTACCGCAAAAAAAAAAAAAAAAAAAAAAGACAAATACTGTATGATTCCACTTATATGAGGTATCTATTGCTGTCAAATTCAGAGATAGAAAGTAGAATGGTGCTTTCTAGGGGCTGGAGGAGAGGAATGAAGGAGGAGTTACTGTTTAATGGGCATAGAGTTTCAATTTTGCCAGATGAAAGTATTCTAGAGATGGATGGCAGTGATGGTTGTACAACAGTATAAATGTACTTAATGTTACTCAACGGTCAACTTAAAAATGGTTAAGACGGTAAAGTTTATGTTATGTGTATTTTACCACAATTAAAACACTGGGAAAAATCTTTTAAGACGGTAACGTTTATGGGTTTTTTTTTACCATAGTTAAAGATAATTTTTTCAAGTAACAAAACTTATGAAATACAATGAAAGCAGTACTTAGAGGGAAGTGTCTAGCTGTCAATGCCCACGTTTAAAAAGAAAGACCTCAAATCACACTCGCTACCTCGTTGCAGAGTTACGTACTCTGCTACTGTCTGTCATGACAGACTCCACAAGGAGCTTGATCACTCTAGAAGACGTGGGTCCAGCAACCACAGGGTGGGAAAAGGATTGGCCACACTCACCATTCTTTGCAGAGGCCCATGGTAGAATCAGGGCTTCTCACCTCCAGAACCTTAGATTCTGCTAGAATAAAGCATGGTCTCCAAAGGGGGAATACTCCCACCAGCAGACACAATAGGGCTCTATGGTTACCACCTGGTCATTTAGGGGGTCTCATGCCAGCGAACGAGAAAGCCAAGAAAGGAGAGGTAAATGACCTGGATTAGCAGGAGGGGCTAGGAGTGCTGCTAAGGGTAGGAAGGCGTAGGACTGGGATCCAAGGTGGCATTTGGTGTTTCTAGCCCAGTGATGACTGCTACTAGACAGCCACCGGACCACAAGCCAGCCAGGACAAGGTGACAACAACCTCTGACACCTTGGGGATGAATGTCTGGACCACCCCACATGCCAATGACCTAGAGCAGCCAATGGCTGAGGGTGAAGGAATCCAGAATGGATGGTGGCAGAAAGAGAGGTTGAATCAGGTCCACCCGGGGCCCAGGGCAGCAGCAGGGCCCGTGGCTGGGTTCACTCGACTCCCCTTGTGCAGAGACCAACCTGGCCGCTCTCTGCCCAGGGGCTGCAGGGTGAGACGCCCGCAGGGAGCTGCTGGGTATCACACGAGTGCGACCTGGAAACGCCAGGGAATTCATACCCCCTGGCACAACCCTTGACCACTGGGAGATATGGAGCCAATGGATCAGTGCCATCCTCTTCCCACCCTCGGGGACCGTTCTAAAGTGACTTCTGAGAAGGTCCAGGTAAGACTGAGATCCCATGGCTCACAGCAGCACCCAGCTTGAGAACATTCCCTTATACTGACTCTTTCTCTGTTAAATACTCCCCAGCCTCCTGTTCCCCCAGATCATATCCTGGGATAAACCATCTGCTGGCCAAGCTGGGCTGAGGAACCTGGATTCCAGGGGCCCAACACATGGGGCCAGAAAGCATTTCCCTGTAATTCTCCTGAGTAGGCAGGGCAGGGCCTGTTATTGGCAGGGGCCTGGGTCTCTCTGGGCTCCCCTTTTGGGTCTGAGCCTTGCTTCCCCTTCCTCACCTAGCCCCACCTCCAACCCCAGCAGTGGCTCTACCCCCAAGCCCCAGCCTCTCTCCTAAGGCCAGACACTGGTGTCAGAAACAGAGGAGGAGACACTCAGCTTCTACTCTGCACCAGGTAATGTACATACATTATTATTAATCCTCATAATAACTCAGCAGCATACACATTACTCCCTCTGTTTAATAAATGAGAAAGCCGAGGCTCAGAGATATTAAATAACTTGCCCAAAGTGGCACAGCTAGTGGTGGCAGAACTGGGACTTGAACCCAGGCTGCCTGATTCCAAAGCTGTGCTCAGATCATCACCACCTGCCTCCTAACAGATGGGCTGTATCAGAGAGGCCTGAGGGATATCAGGGGAGGATAAAGACGGGGATGCGGGGAGGCTGAGCGATAGAGTAGGCAGCTGGTTCCAAACTATGGGAAAGTCAGTGAACTGTTTAAGCAGAGATGTCTAATGCTGAGTAGAAAGCGTACATCTCTGGTGTGTATCTCCTCTTGTCCTCTGGATCCTCAGTAAAACCTTCAACACCTTCCACAGGCCCGAGGTGGGGTGTGTGTGTGCCTGTGCCTCAACCAGGAAAACACAGCTTTAAATTCCAGGCCTGAATCTAGGTGATGCCGAACTGGGACCATGAACCTGAGAGCTGATGGGAATACACAAGCTCATCCCCAGGGCCTCCACCCTGGAGAGGCTGCGGGGAGAACTGGGGCTCCGGCCTGCGGGGCTTCATTCTAGGGAATTTCACCCAAATCTCCAAGGACAGACTATCATGGGTGGTGATGATTAAGTTAATTTGTTTTTTTAAAGGAATTTTGTTTTGTCACCACGAAGGACTCCTATGTGTCTGGAGGCAGGGCGTGACCCATGGCCTCTCCCACCCATTTGCCCAGAACCCACCAAGGGAAGGGCAGGATAGAGCAGAGCAGTGGGCAGCTCTGCGGTCTCCATGGCAACCACGGACTCTGCACCTGCTCCGTGGGGCCCTGGCTTTCCACAGGCCAGAACTCACCTGCCAAGGGTAGACCACCTCCTTGTGGCAGCCGGTCTGGTTGCAGCCCAGGAGGCTCTGCAGCGCGTGAGCCACAGCGTAGACGGCGGAGTACACGCTGTAGACCACGCGTTCGCCAGAGAGCGTGAGGATGGTGTTGAAGGACTCAGAGGTGTCCATACAGGTGTCACGCTCCTGGTTGCAGGTGGCCCCCAGGCTGCTCCTGTTGAGCGCGGGCCGGCTGACCTGGGAGCGGTGCACGCGGAACTCGCTGAAGCCCGGGATGGGCACGCTCTGCTCTGAGTGGTGATGCCCAGGAAGGTGCCTGTGCGCTGCAGCTGGGTGAGGTGGTGCTGGACCGGCTCGATGGCCCAGTGCCCGTGGAGTTCTGGCGCAGAACCTCGCGGAAGAAGTTGAACAGGGCCAGGTCTGGCGAGGACACGGCCACGACACGCTCCATGCTCTGCTGCAGCTTGCCCATGATGGCCTCCAGGCGCTCACGCTCCTGCTGCGTCATCGTCCGGTTGGGCTGCGGCATGGGCAGCGACTCCCGGCAGGCGATGTAGATGTCACGGTGGGCCAGGCACTCGCTGAGCAGCTGGCTGCTGCCGCGGCCATAGTCATCGCTGCTTGTCAACACAAGGATCCAATGCCAGCGGAAGTGCCGCATCAACTGCACCACGGTCTCCATTTGGTGATGCACACCTGGCGCCGTGCGCAGCACAGCTGGGAAATGCAGCTGGTCATTGATGGCACCGTAGGTGATCTGCCGGAGGGGAGGGTCCAGCAGGTATTAGCGAGGGCCTCACAGGGTCCCCCCCCAGGGGGGTTCCACCCACCACCATCATCCTTATGGCATTTGAGGAGCACATAGCGCCAGCCACGCCCAGGGCTAAGTGGTTTACTCCACCATCATCGTGGACATCACAGTAATGACAATGAATGAGGACCTACTATGTGTTGGACCCTGAACTAGGTGGTTTACTCCATCGTCACCATGGTCATTACTGAAATAACATTTCACAAGAATCTATCATGTACCTGGCCCTAGGCTATGTGCTTTACGTTAACATCATCATGATTATCCTTGTGGTAACACTTACCAAGCACCTACTGTGTGCCACGCCCTGGGCTAAGTGATGTACACCATCTCACGATGGTCATCAGCCTGGCAGCCTTTAGCGGGCACCCACCACATGCCAGGCCCTGGGCAAGATGCTTCTCATCGACGTCAGCCCCACCTCAGCCTTTAGCAACACTGTTGACCACCTATTGTGTGCCAGGCCCTAGGCTAGGTGATTTCCATCATTATCATTCTCATGATCTAGTAACATTTATTGAGTGCCTACTGTGTGCCCCTGAGCATAAAGCTTTCCTCCTCACCATCGTCCTCCTCAGATTAGTCACATTTCCTTCCGCAGCCTCTGGGATGGCACAGTCTCGGTTTTCTTCCCCTTTCACTGGTTGCTTCTTCTCCTCTTCTCTATGACCTCTTGACCTTGGGGGACCCCAGGGCTCAGCCTTCAGTCCTTGTGTCTTCTCCATCTGCTCCCCTTCCCTTGGTGATCTCATCCAGGCTCCTGGCTTTAAATACCATATCCGCGCTGACAACTCCCAATAGCCCTGCCCCGGACCCCCCTCTGCTAAATTTCAGACTCATACCTGCAACTACCTCCTTGACATTTCAAACTTAACGTAGCCAGAACTGAACCCCTGTCTCCCCTGAACCTGCTTCACCCACAATCTCCCCATCTCCCCTGATGGCGAATCCATCCTTCCAGTTACTCAGGCCAAAACTGTAGAGGCCTCATTGGCTTGTCTCTCTCAAACATGCCACCTTCAAGCCATCCGCACATCCCACTGGATCTACCTTCAAAGTGTGTCCATTCAGTGCCTACACCTCCCCACACCACCCTAGTCCAGCCACCATCATTCCTGCTATGAGTTACCCCGATATCCTCTCCCCTCTCCCCTCTACAATCTACACTTAGCGTGGCTCCAGGGCGACCCTGCTCACACACACACCAGTCACATATTCAAGACCCTCCAACAGTTCCTAATGCCACTCAGGAAAAGCCAGAGTCCATCAGTGGTCCCCAAGGGGCTCCATCATTGACCCCAGCGCTTACCGCTCTGATTTCATCTCCTTCTCTCCCACTAGTCCCAGCTCTGCTCACCCAGTTCCATGGACACACCAGCCACCTCCCAGCCTCTGCATCTGCTGACCCCTTGTCGTGGAGGCTGCTCTTCCTCCTCCAGCCCCTTCAAGCCTCCATCCAATCTCCCTGTACCCACTCCGCCTGGCTGCCGACGTGCCCCACCTCCCTTAACCTTGACCTGACTTTTCCTTTTATCCATTTCACGTCTCACTTCCTATCATCCTATATCACATACTTATTTACATCGATCGTCTGTCTCTCCCCACTGGAAGATAAACTCTATGAGGGCAAACTTCTGTGCATTTCCCCAGCTGCATCCCCAACACCTACAGCAAGACCTGGCACAGTCGGTGCTCCATAAATATTTGTTAAATGAATGAAAGAATTACTTCAGTCCCAGACTAGATTCTTCACATAAGAATATTAACACTGATTGAGCACCTACTCTGAGTCAGATCCTTGGTGCTTGATATAATAAAAACAACAGCAAAAATTACAGTATTTGGGGCTTCCCTGGTGGCGCAGTGGTTGAAAGTCCGCCTGCCGATGCAGGGGACACGGGTTCGTGCCCCGATCCGGGAAGATCCCACATGCCGCGGAGCGGCTGGGCCCGTGAGCCATGGCCGCTGAGCCTGCGCGTCCGGAGCCTGTGCTCCGCAACGGGAGAGGCCACAGCAGTGAGAGGCCCGTGTACCGCAAAAAAAAAAAAAAAAATTACAGTATTTGTAACTACCCACTGCGGGCCAAGTCTTGTGCTAGCTGCTCTTTAATGAGCAGATATCTTATGCCACTTCTGGACTACGCCTTTTTGATCACGATGGTGAAAATAGTTAGAATAGCAGTAGTAATTCTATAGCACTTTTTTGAGGACCTGCTGTGACGCAGATTCTGTGCTAGGCAATTATATAGGATAACATTGAGCGCTTTCTGAGTTTTTATCCTCGCGCAAGATGCTTCACGTAACAACAGTAACATTATTGACTACCTATTGTGCACTAGAAATTCTTACCTAAATTGAACGCTTTGATCTTCAGACAGTCCAAGGATGGGACTCTTATCATCCCACTTTAGAGATGGGGAAACTGAGGCTTGGGAAAGTTAAGAGGTTGGCTCAAGGCCTCACACTGGCCAAGACTCAGAGGCAAGATGCACACCGAGGTCTTTCTGCCTCCAAAGCCTGAGCTCTTAACCGATAGGCTGGCTACCTTGCCAGGGCTGGGGTGGATGTCCTGACCTTGCTTCTGCTCCCCAATCCAACACCCCCGGGACGGGTGGGGGTGTTGAGCCCTCAGGAAAAGCGCTCGGCTACCCTCCTTCCCAGCCCCTTCTCCCAGGGCCCAGGGGCCTCACCTGTGGAAGGGGAAAGAGGGAGAGGAAGTGGGCCACAGTCATGGGGGACTCGGAGTTGTCAGGGCCGGTGATGGCCACCACACAGGGTATGTAGTGGCTGTAGTCTTCCTGGATGGGCAGGAAATAGTCGTCCTGTGACAGGAAGTAGAGCACAGGATGGATGTTGTTGGACATGTAGCAGGTGTCCACCATCTCATAGCCCAGCAGCACACTGGGCAGCAGGCTGCTGTCATTGCTGTCATTGTTGATTTCCTCCACTGCAAAGCGCATGGCCTGCATGAGGTTGTAGCCCAGCACCTTCATCTCATACCTGGAGAGGCTGCAGTAGGGTGGGGTTGGCAACGGGTCCAGAGTGAGGAGGTGAGGGGAGGGGAGGGGAGGGGAGAGCCAGCCTGTCCCTCCTGCCTGCAGTAGGAAAGCCAAGGCATCGCCCAAGAAGGAACCACTCCAGAGGGTTCTGGCATTTTTACCACATCATTTCACCATCGCCATCACTTCCATCACCACCATCATCTCACAGCCGCTCCACCATCACCAGAAGCATCAAAATATACAACATGCTTAGTACCCTCACCCTGACCACTCTCAAGCCAGCATATAATCTTCCCCAACATCTTATAAATGCTTCATTTCTTATAGCCAGGCTTTAATCATCTTTGCACTCTCCTTCCTTCCCTTCTCTCTTTCTCAGAATGCCTCGCCCTCTCTGCACAAGATCACTATTTTATAAGCCCAGGCTGGCTCCAGTATCCCAGCCTTCATGCCTGCCTGAAGGTGGCCCACTCAATCTCTGAACGATGCTGCCACCCCAGTGGGTTCACAGGGGATGGAGTGCAGAGGAAAGCCCCCCTAGTCCTGGAAACACCCCTGCCCACCCAACCACAGCCCTGGGGAAATACAAACTTTCCTTCCAGTCTGACAACCTGCCTCCCAAAGGTATAACAGTCGGGTCTTGGCATGGACTCACTGGGAGTCCCACTGCTGCCAGAGGGAAGGGGGTTGGTTTTGATGGCCTCTAAGACCCCTCTAGGCTCAAACATCCCATAACTCTTTAGTAAGAGACGTGACATTAAGACACCAGGTTTCAAAATTTCAGGACATAGTCGCCATAGATTTTAATAAGGCGGACTGTGCTGGGCCTCCCTGAGAGCCAGTGGGGTGCATCCAGGATGGGGGCTTGGCAATGAATGAGGAGACGCATTCTGACCCGTTGGTCTTGGCTTGGCCTCCCCAGGGCCACAGGACCAGCCTCGGCTCCCACCCCGCCCCCACCATCACTTCCAGCCTCACACTGGAGACTCACTCATTGCACCTGGGCACCTGCAGGTAGTTGAGGTGGACAGTGCCCTTCACGTTGGCATGGAAGGTGAAGAGGCCACCCAGGAGGTAATCCTCAAGCAAGTAGAACTCCGAGTTCTCAGTCAGCTCAGCCAGGGCCCGCAGCAGGAAGATCAGGGAGCAGACCACCCTGCCCTGGGCTCCCATGGCTGTGAAGTGGAGGTCCCAGAGGTGGCTTTGCCTCCCTGGAGAGCTGGCAACCTAACCCCAGGGGATTTGCGCAGACATTTACATATGGGTCCTGTCACTGTCCAAGGAGCAGGAAAGCACCTGGGACAGGCAGAGAAGTTTGAGGGCTCTGAAGGAAGGGGAGGAGGCTGGAATGAGGATGATCCCTTCTTAGGGCACAGCAGAGCCTGGATGGTCCAGGAGAGCCCCATCTGGCAGTAGACAGAGCATGTCCTGCTAACCTGGCCACACCTACACCTTCTGCCATTTAGATGAGGTCAGGTCACATCTCCCTGATGTTTCAAGCATTTGGGAGTAAAGGACACAGATGCTCCCATCAGGAGACAGAGTAGGGGGGCAAAGGGAGCCCACACTCCAGAGCCTGACCAAGTTGGGGCTGGCACGTGGTCGTGTGTCCCGCCCCTGACCCATAGTAGTTGTTCCAAAACAGCAGCCACTGATTCTAAGAACCAGGCATCACGCTGAGTGCTTGTCACTCACCATCATTTAACACTCACAGTAACTAGGACTATTACTAACCCCATTTCACAGGTGAGGAAACTGAGGCACAGAGAAGGTAAGAAACTCAGTGTCGGTTGCACAACAAGCAGAGCTGCGATTCAAATCACACAGCCAGACCTCAGGGCCTGGCTCTTAACCTCCATGCCATATTACATCGCGAGCACCTTGCTTTTGGTCAAAGTAGCAGAACAGCGGCAAAGAGATTGGGAAGTGGGAGTGGGCTCCCACATCTGTCAGCCCAATAATCCATCATCACCTCTGCAGAGGGAGCCCTCTCTAGGTATCCCCCCTTGGATCCAGGACCCAGGGCCAGGGGTGTTGGCAGAAAGGAAAGTTGAAAATTCCTAACGTTGAAGGTGACTGCCCCCAAGGAGTGGAATGGAGGGAGACGGCTCCAGCAGATCAGGGACTGTTTTAATCAAAGACCCTTGTCCACAGAATGCTGTTTTGGTCCTTTCCTGACCCAACAACATGGCCTAGCAGGAGCCTTGGGGGCCTGCTATAAAACGCCCAGCCTAGGTGGATATGTCACAGGCCTGAATGCTGCTCCTGGAGCCCAGGCTTATGGTGGGAGGAGGCTCCAAGGGACAATAAGGGGATTGGAAACTCAGTACTGTCCCCCTGCCCACCCCTGCCAAACCCTGATCCTCCTTCAAGGGCCAGTTGGAGCCTCACCTCCTCCTAGAACCCTTTCCTGGTGCCAGTTCACGGGAACAACTTCTGCTCTGCGTTGCAGTGACTCTTCCACCTGTATCAGCACTGCGCCCCTGGTGACAGACCTACATCATTGACCAGCTCCTGCTGACATGTGTGTCTACACTCGAGGAACATTGAGGCAGCATGTCCAGCCGGCCTGGACTGGACATCAGCTCTGTGTGCTGTGTGAGAATGGGCAGGTTACTTAAGCTCTCTGAGCCTCTGTTTGCTACTGAAATAGGAATAATAATTCTAGCCTCATGAGATCGGTGTGGGGATTAAATAAGAAGGCATGTGTGAACGGCGGGGTGCAGGGCAGACCCTGGAGAAAGGTAAATTTGCCAGAGTGCGAGATTGTCCTTTCTTGTAATGAAATGAACTGCCCTGGGGGGCACCCCGGGCTCTGAGCCCAGCTGAAAGAGCCCAAATCTTCTCGAAGTTACCCTGAAAGATACTGGCTGTGAATTTAGCAACTCCAGAGGGAGCACCCCCTCCCTCGCCCCTGACCTCCCCTGGGGTGGAGTCAACCCACAGACATTGAAAACAACAGGGGGAGGCCTCTGGGTGCTGTGGAAAGATGCAGGATTTGCTGCGTGATTTGGGGCCTGGCCCTGGCCCTCTCTGGGTGTATGTCAAACAGTGGGGGGTGGGGAGATCCAACCCATAGAATGAAAGGAAGAGCCCTGCATGGGATGTCTGGAGGTGTGGGTTCTGGTCCTAGCTCTCCCCTCTCCTGACCTCAGTTTCCTCATCTGTACAATGGGGAGGTCCTCTTTGGAACTTATTCACCCTCCGTGTCAGCAGGTCAAAAGCCCCAGCACTAATTCACAGTGTCTATCGGTTCTCTCCAGACTCCTCCCCCTTTTGCCACACCCCAAGCTCAGACCCTTATAACTTCCTGTCTGGACCTCCCCGTCTGCCTCAGGTTGACAGTTTAAATCCCTGAAGGACAGCTCTGAGTCTATCACAGCTTGGCTCTAACGCCCCCTGGGACTCCACATTGCTGTAGGATCACAGCCGAGCTCCTGGCCTTGGCTTTCAAGGCCTCCCCAGCTTGGCCCCAGCTCACGCATCCTGCCCCGCCTGCTCTCTCCTGCGCTGTGTGCCCCAAACTACAGCCACATTGGCCTCCTTGGAACGCGGTCCCTGGTGGCGTTCTAGGAGCCCCCGAGACCACTGTCCTCTGCCCGGCCAGATACTTAGGGAGCCGTGAAGACAATAACTAAACAGCACTTTTCTGGGGTGTATCGTATGCCAGGCACAGTGCCAAGCACTTTTTGTGCATCATATCGTTTAGCTACCCTGCAAAGCAGCCATTATTACTCCCATTTTTAAAGTGAAGAAACTGAAGCTGAACAGTTAAGCAACTTGCCGAAAAGCACACATTTAATAGGGAGTGACGCTAGAATTTATTTATTTTAATTTTTTTGGCCGCACCGCACAGCTTGCGGGATCTTAGTTCCCGGATGAGGGACTGAACCCGGGCCCACAGCAGTGAAAGCACCGGGTCCTAACCACTGGACCGCCAGGGAATTCCCAATGACACTAGAATTTAGACCCAAGCTGCCAAGCTCTCAACCCTGTACTGTCTGATTTGGGTGTGTTCTGCCCTCAGGAGCTACACCCACCACGGGGGTGGGGACTGGTGCCGCCCTCTCCCAGTGCAGGTCCCACCTCAAGGCCAAGGTGTTGGTGAAGGACCAGTTCCAGGCACAATGAGTGTGTGCGTCAGTTTGAAGAGGGAGAATAAAGATGCCAGTTGCTGGGTGGCCCTGGAATGTTCTGGAGGCTCCCAGTCAAGTCAGATTATTTAGCAAAGCTTGGGGGTAAGGGGTTGGTAGAGAAAAAGAGCATCTAAGTTAACTGGAGCCCCCTGGGTGTGGCGTTGTGGAGGACAAGAGTGGCTGAGAAAACCATGTATCCAGAGGGCACTAGCAGAGCCCACTATGTGCCAGGGCTGGGTGGGGCACAAGGGACACAGCCAGGACACACTAGGGATACGGCTTGCGGTCTGGAGACAGAAATCAGGGCCATGTGCTCGTGAAGGCAGCACATGCTGGAAGATGCCAGGGGCACCAGGGCCATCCATAGTGTGGCGTATTGTATCAGAGCTGAGAGGGTCTGCAGAGCTCCACAAACCTACCCATTATACAGATGGGGAAACTGAGGCCCAGAGAGGGCCAGTCGCCAAAGGGCCGGAAAAGCAGGTGGATTTCCCCTGGGCTCCAATCAAGTCAAAAGCATGTCGGGACAGCTCTATGATGACCCACGCTGTGCTGGTTGCCAAGAAGGGGTAAGGAGGAGGGAAGGTGTGGGCCAGCCAAGAGCTCCACGGGGGAGGCAGCGTCTGTGCCACGAAGAATGGGAGGAGGATGGGGATAATGAGCACAAGTTATTTCTATCATTAACACGTTTGCAGGGCTCATTCTATGCCAGGCTGCCATCCCGTTTTATTCTCACTACCTTTTGAGGTGCTGTTATTATCTCTCCATTTTTCAGATGAGGAGACTGAGGTTCAGAGAGGGACAGTAACTTATTCAAAGCCACATGGCAAGTATGTGGATTGGAGGAATCCAAGACCCTAATGGGGGGTCATGGGAATGGTGTTGGCCAAGGCACTCCAATGAGGAAGGAATGATGGGGTCCCCCTGCTTAGTGGGGGCTATTAGTCCAGATGGATGATCTTCTCTGAAGACTAAAATCTGAAGAAGGAGCTCTGGATAGAAAGTCAGAAGTCTTGGCTTCTGGTTCAGCTCTGCCCCAACCTGAAGGCTGCCCTCACACAAGTGGCTTCCATTCTCTGGGCCTCAGTCTCCCCACCTGTAAAATGGACTCGGTGCTTCTTAACATTTCAGGGGCAAGGATCCTTTTGAGATTCTGATGAAAACCCTGGACACTAATACACACACTGACAGATGCAGCCGTGCGCCCAGATCCAGGAAGACACAAGGCTCAGTCCGTGACCCTTGAGATGCCCTGGGCTGGATGATCTCCGCGGTCCCCTCTAGCCTTGACATCACCTAAGAAGGGCAAGTGGGTGAGGCTAGGGCACTGGCTGCCCTGAGAACAAATGTCCAGGAACACCAAGGCCCTGCAGTTCTCCTTCAGGGCTGCACCCAGAGCACATGCCCCACGGTGGCCCAGGCTGAACACACTGCCATCCTCACGGCCCAGTCCAGGGCCCGAGGTCCCCATGATCACACCTGTGTGGCTACTGGTTGCCAAGGTGATGGAGAACCATGACAGACTTATGCAAAGTTCATGGGGCAGGGGCGAGCCATGGAAATAGGGGCCCGGGAGATGCTGCCCATTTGCCTTACATCTGCTTCCCTGGGTGCTTATAGAAAGGAACTAGCCATGTTTGCTTTGGGCAGGAGGGGGCCGCCCTGAACTTCCTCCCTCTCCCCGCCATGGTGGTTGGAGGGGCCTAGAGTGCAGGGGGGAGCCCCCAAAAGGGGCATGACCCCAGGGACTGGGTGCTGCATCGGCTTCTCTCCCCTACCCCACCTTTGTACATCCTGTTTGCTTCTGTGCCCCACCCACCATTTCCCCTGTCTCTTTCCTACCAGTACTGCCTCCTCCAGGACAAAATTGGGCAGCTGGAAACCTAGCTCCAATCCAGCTGAGGGTAGAACAGGGGTAGGCAGGCAGGGCTTCCCCAAGGAGGGTCTGGGAGCTGCACAGCCCCTGAGCCAGCTGGCTTGGTTCAGAGACACCTTGGAAGAGGGCACAGGATAGGCCTCAGAGCTGGTTATCAGAGGACCCAGCCTCATTGGTCACCCCTCTGAGATGTCAAAAGTGTAATGGGTAGGGTGACCCCTAGAAGCTGGGGACCTAGGGGTCAGCTAAGGCCTGAAGGAGGGACTCTGCTGTGGTTGGGACACCTTCTTGAGTCCAGAGATCCACGCAAGCCAGCTTTGTCTCATTCAGAAAAAGATCTGAAGATTCCAAACAACCACAAGCCCAATAAGAGCCCAAAAGGTGATAGTCGCTAAAGGGAGCATAAAGGGCTGGGATGGGGAAGGGGGCTGGTCCTGTTCTGTGGGGCTCTGGACGGCCCCACCCGCACCACTGGACAGGGGCCAACCAGCAGGCCCTAACTCCGCTCAGCTTCCTCGCCTGTAAAATGCGCACAGCCACCTCAAACAAGGGTGATTAAATGGGATGAATACATCAAGCACCTACCTCATACATGATAGTGAATATTACGTTACAGTGTTGATGGCTTTTGTCCTAGTACGGAACTGGCATGGGACCCTCGGTTCTAGGCCCAGTAAAGGGCTAGGGTCTATGATTCTGTATGACTCTCCTTCCTAAGACTCAGATCTCTCCACAAGCCTCACTCTCCTTCCGACAACACCTGCCCGGATGCACCTCACCAAGCAGGTGCCCGGCAGAACATCAGCTCCCTCGTTTCGCCCTGGCCTCTGTGCACCAAATGCTCACGAGACTGAAGAGTACCTGCCACGCACCTGGGGCCTGGAGGGAGGGCATGGCAGAGCCCCAGAACAGAATGCTCATGTACCCCGGCACCTAGGGTCATATGGTACCTGCTCCACCATCCAGGGTGGCTGTCAACAACCCGGGGGAGGGGGACAAGGCTGGCTATGTCTGGAGCCAGTGTCAGCCACACCTACTCCCATCCACCTGCTGGATGGCTCCCACCCAGAAGCTGCTGCATTCCTTCGAGGGACCAGGACAAGGGGGTGCTGGTATAGCCAGCTCTTGCCCCTGTACCTGTCGCTTACTGAACAAGTCTCCCTGAGGCTCCCTAAGCCTCCGTTTCCTCATCTGTGAAATGGGGCCAAAATACTACTCCCTCCCTCCCAGGCTGGTGTGGTCCAAGCTAATTAGCAGGAGCACCTGCCCATGGATAGGTGCTCAGGGAAGCCCAGCTTCATCTCCTTCCTGGGCACAGGCATCCAGGATGAGGGTATTGAGAGGGTGGGCGAAGGTAAGTTCTCACTCACTGAGCATCTCACTCTGCAGGGCACAGGACCTGGCATTTTGTTCTAAAACATGTCATTCGATCCTCAGCTCCCACAGAAACGTCAACTCTGAGAGTGGGGAGGCCAAGGCACAGGTAAGAGGGGTTAAGGCAGGACATCAAGGCCGTGCTCAGTGCCCAGGCAGGCAGACATGAGAAACAGAAACTCAGGCAGTCACCTCCTACTGGTGCACTGGTTACTTCACCCATGCGTGCCTCAGTCTCCTCGTCTGTGAAATGGGACTAACGGATGTCCCTTCGGGGGCTGCGATGAGGATCCGAGGGTGTGACGTCTAAAGCATTTAGCGCAACGCCCGGCACACAGCCTGCGTTCAAGTAATGGTGACTCTTACTATCTCCTACGCCGCCTCTAGACAGAGGACCTACAGGAACTGTGATAACGAATGTGTCGGTAGGGGAATTAATGAAAATGAAGGCGTGACTCTGTGAAGAGTGTGGGTCTGCACCCTGCTGCTTCCTCTTGCCCCCCAGGAGCTCCAGGTCTGCCTGGCGACCAGGGCACTGGTGGCCCCTCATTTCTTTAGCATGCACGCCCCACTGGCGGCACCGCGGTGGCAGGGACATCCAGCCTCAGTCAAATGGTTCACGCTCCAGCCCAGGCCTGCGGCTGGGCCCCCGGCCACAGCAGGGAAATGAAGAGGCTCCTTGGGCCACCGTGGACATGGGGACTTACTGCAGTGACCATGCAAAGAGGCCTCGATCACCCGGGTGGGCACTGGGCCTTTGGGAGCCACCAGCCCCACGTCTGGGGGACAAGGGAGGGCAGACAGAACAGAGTGAACGATAGCTTTGAGCCACCCCCTGACCTCGTTCAGTGGGGTCAGAGGCACCAGGATAAAATGACACTGGTAGAGGCATAGCTCCTGGGAGGCATAGGTCCCTGGGAGTCGGGGACCTGATGGAGCAGGTGGCAAGGACCATGGGCTGTGGCACCCGTAGCCCTGGGCTCTAACCCAGCCCTTTACTAACCAGCTATGTGACCTTGGGCTTGTCATTCTACCTCTGAACTCCATAGCCCTTCCATAGAATGTTGTAATAGTTACCTGGTAAGGTCAATGTCAAGGCTCTGAGACTAGGTAGGTAAAACACTACCAGTCATCAGCCAGCTCTGCGGCTGTCTCAGCGTGACCTTGAATAAGTCACTCCACTCAGCAACGTTAACGAGGCCTATGTATCCCCCAACGACAAAAGGCAGCTGCCTCCCTTTCCTTCCGTGAGCTCCAGCCAGAGCACTCTGGGGGCTGCCCTTTGTCCCTGACTCAAGCCCCCTTTGGCACAAATCAGTAGCAGCCCCTGGGTGAGCCAGGGCACGGGTTCTGCCCGGAGTTGGGTCCCCTTCCCTCCCCACAGCTCTGAGAGCCTCCAGCCAACAGCCCTAACCAATGGACCCTCGGACAGGGTGGCGTCTGTGTGGTTCAGGACCAGCTCTGTTTACATTACCTGTGGTTGGAGACAGGTCAGGACACACGTGTCTTCCCCTCCAAGTCAGCTGGCCCAGGTGGGTTTAGACCCACGGATTCCAGGCTCAAGCTAACTGGCCACGGTTGCTCCCTGCCATGTCACCTGGCCAACTGAGCCGATCTTTGCGAGCCATGTGTGGACATCTGGGTGGAAGAGAGAGAACGGGTTTTGGAATCAGACGGACCTGGGTTTCCACCCCACTGATAGCATACCCTCAGCAAGTCCCTTCACCTTTCTACACCCCAGGGCCCTCACCTGCGAAATGGGAGCACAGCAGCTCTTCCTAAGACTTGTGAGTGAGAAAACATACGCATAGTCTTTGGCACGTGTATGGCTCAGGGTTCTGAAGAGAAGCAGAACCTCTATGAGGCGTAGAGAGACAGACACAGGGAGAGAGATTTATTGTAACGAAGTAGCTCACGTGATCATGGAGGCTGTTAAGTTCAGAATTTGTAGTGCCGGCCAGCAGGCCAGAGACGCAGGAAGTTGCAGTTGAGTCCAAAGGCAGCCACTGGCAGAATTCCTTCTTGCTTGGGGGAGACCAGTGTCTGTTCTGTTAAGGCCTTCAACTGATTGGATGGGGCCCACCCACATTATGGAGGGCGATCTGCTTTCCTCAAAGTCCACTGATTTAAATGTTATTCTCATCCAAAAAAACACCTCCATGGAAACATCCAGAATAATGCTTACGTAGATATCTGGGCACCATAGCCCAGCCAAGTTGACCCATAAACTTAACTATCACAGTACATAACAGTGGTTGTTATAACATGGATAAATGGGTTACATTGTTGAATCATTACCTATCTGAGCACTTATATGAATTAACTCATTGAATTCTCAAGACAACCTGTGTGCATGTGAGTGCACACATGTGCGTGCGTGTGTGTGTGTGTGTGTGTGGTTATTTCCATCTAAGACATGAAGAGACAGAGGGTCAGAGAGATTGCACAACTTTTTGGAGCCGGGATTTGAACCCAGGCCCTCCGGCGCCAGAGTTCCTGCCACCCACAGCAGGGATTCCCGGCATCAGTGCTCACCCTTCCTTCCATCACACCAAGGGCACTGCCCTCCTGACACCTAATGACACACTGGCAACTCCGTCGGATGTAGAAGGTGACCAGTCCCCACCAACCCCACCAGAAAGACCACCGACTTGGTTAAGTAAGAGGCATTTTATTAGGTGGCATCAGGCAGATCCTATTGCCACCTCACAGTGTAGAACCAGTAGAATCAGGAACACCTCCAGCCCCCCGCCGCCTGACCTGGCCCCTTGTGGGAAACAACCCGGGCAGCATCAGGACCCACCCCTGACCGGGGGCCAAGGTGTGTGACCGCGCACTTGGGGAACGGCCACTCCAGCCCCGCGGGGGTCCCATGCCAGCTGTGCTTGAGGAGGGTCCAGCCCTTTCGGGGCCCCCTAAAAGCTGTCCTCCACAGTCACCACTTCTCATTCCCTGGCCACCAGAATCTACTCAGGATGCATTTGCAAGTGTCCACCGATTGGCTGCGTCAAGGAACAGGCCTCTTAGGGGCCAGTCCACACAGAGCCACTGACATGCAAAGGAGGAATAATTTGAGAGGCAAGCCTCAGCCCGGGCTGGACGGGGACCCAAGGAGAGGTCTCAGGGTGCTGGGGAAGGTGGGAGCAACATGTACCCGGGCCTGTTCAACCACAGCCAGTGGGTGCTGAGCTCCTGCAGGAAACCCCAGGCTCTAGAGGCAGGACCCGAGAGCTAAGGGAAGCAGCAGGAAGGGCCCCCCAAAGTCTGCCAATCTCACAGCCCAAACAGAAAGGACCAGCACATCCCACATCTTGGCAGGTGGCCTGCAGCAGTCCCCTCAGACCCCCAAACGGAGATAGCCAGGAATCCGTGGGTCTCAGGTGAGCTCAGGCACTCTGGAGCAAGGCACATGGGGTCTAAGGCATTTGGTTGGGCACAGGTACCTGCTGGTACAGGCGCACCTGGGCAAAGAGCTAGTGAGCCGCCCGGACTACAGGGGGCAAGGCCAGCTGGTGCCCCCATGCCCTGCAGCCACGATTTGCCAGCCCTGTAGGCCACTGTGGCCACACGTGACCCTGGACACCCGGAGAAGCCGGGGCCAAGGCCAGGAGCCTCTGTGGGTGGTGAGGTTTGCCAGGGGCCCCCAAGATGCCTCCTTTTCCTCCATGGATCCGTGAGCTACTCTACCACCATTCCTCAGGTCCCTGAGCCACTGGGCCACAGTGTAGAGGAAAGGGAAGGGGACATATGGAGAACCAGCCGGGCACCAAGGTCACACCTACCAGATGGAATTTCTAGGACAGCCGATGGGGTCAAGGGTGGCGGCCCTGTTCTCCCCACAGCGTAATCTCAAACCAGAGCCCGGCATCTGACTCCAAGGGTGGGACAGGCCAGGCCAGTGGGGGGCAGGGGGCAGGCCTCGGCCCTAGAAAGAGGGTCGTCCCGTGGGGAGCGGGTGGAGGGCCTGGGGTGCACTGACGTCAGTCGTTTGGACAGACAGACGGGTGGACGGCAGAGGCGCCGAGCGGGGCTCACTGCATGTACGGGTAGCGCCAATCCCCCAGAGGCTTGTGGGTCTCCTTGATGACCTGGGGTGACGTCCACCGCAGGATGTAGTGGGGCCCTCCTGGCTTGTCATTAGTCCCTGTGGAAAAGACAGCTCTGTTTATCTCCAAAAAGATACAACGGCTCTGGGCAGAGGGAAAAGGAGTGGGGAGGAGCTGATGGAATAAATGGGGCACCATGGGCAGAGGGAAAAGGAGTGGGGAGGAGGAATAAATGGGGCACCATGGGCAGAGGGAAAAGGAGTGGGGAGGAGGAATAAATGGGGCACCAGCACGGGCAGCAAATTGCCAAAGTAACCCTAACACAGCCACAGCAGCCAGGGTTTCCCGAGCGCATCTGTGCGGAGGGCACTCAGCCGGAGGTCGGGCAAGGCAGGAGCTGGTGAGCAGGCAGGACGCCCATGCTCCCCAGGTCCCTGCACCCCACCTGCAAGAAGTGTCTGGGAGGCAGTGGGGCACCGTGGAGGGCACTGGACTGGGAGTCGGGAGACCTGGCTTCCGGCCCTTGGGAACTCTGGCAAGTCACCGCCCCTCGCCGACCCTCAGTTTCCCTATTTGTAAACAGGAGGGGGATGGACTTTGGTAGCCTGGAGTATGACAGTAAAAGGTGTGGGCGCTGGGACCCAAATCCCGGCTCCACCACTCTCTAGCCATGTGCCCTTAGGCAAGTCACTTCACTTCCCTGGGCCTCAGTTTCCCCCTGCATAAAATGGGAAGAAGAATGGCAGCACCTGGGCTTCGGCGGCTGTTGGCAGGACTGAGTTAGCACAGGGCCCGGCCCACGGTGCTCAGTAAATGGTGCTACTGCTGCTCCTCTTAACACCCTTGAGATGAAGGACCGAGGGTCTCCCGCCGGGAACTCGGCCCCCCTCTGGAAAGGGGGCCCCACTCACCAGAGGTTCGGGCCCCCCCGAAGGGCTGCTGGCCCACCACCGAGCCAGTGGACTTGTCGTTGATGTAGAAGTTGCCGGCAGCGTTCCTCAGCATCTCTGTGGCCTCCCGGACGACATCCCTACAAGGCAGGGCAGTGGTAAGAGGGCGGCCAGCTCACCCTCATTCCAGATCCAGGGCCAACCTCCAACACCCCCGTCCCAGCCCACATGGGCCACCCTGGTGAGCATGAGGCCAGCCGCCAGCTATGGGCCCTTGACAGGCTCCCAGGAGTCTCTGAGCCTCAGCCTCCTCCTCTGAAAAGGGGGTTAGCACGCCTCCCTCGCAGGGCATCTGTGAGGGCTGGATGAGGCTCAGGCTGTACGTACTCGAGGGAGTGGCCCATCTCGGTCCAGTTTTCCTGCCTTTGGGAGCTGGGGAACCTCCAGACCCCTAGCCTGCCCCTCAGGTTCCAATCCCGCCTCCACTCTTTTTTTTTTTTTTAAACAATTCAATGTTTTCTTTTTTCTCTCTTTTTTTAAAAATTTATTTTATTTATTTATTTTTGGCTGCACTGGGTCTTCATTGCTGCGCGTGGGCTTTCTCTAGTTGCGTCGAGCAGGGGCTACTCTTCGTTGCGGTGCGCGGGCTTCGCATTGCGGTGGCTTCTCTCGTTGCGGAGCACAGGCTCTAGGCACACAGGCTTTGGTAGTTATGGCACGCGGGCTCAGTAGTTGTGGCTTGCGGGCTCTAGAGCGCAGGCTCAGTAGTTGTGGCACATGGGGTTAGTTGCTCCGCGGCATGTGGGATCTTCCCGGACCAGGGCTTGAACCTGTGTCCCTTGCATTGGTGGGCGGATTCTTAACCACTGCGCCACCAGGGAAGCCACCCCCCTCCACTCTTAAAGGCAGACAAAGGGAGACAAGCAGTACCACGGAGAAAGGAAAGGGCAAAGCCTCGGGTTTAGTGTCCCGGTGCTCAAGTTGGAATCCTGCCTCTGCCAGACAAGCAGTGCACCCGGGCCCGAGCCTCTGTCTTCCACCCTGCAGCCCCATCAGACCCGGGGAGCAGGTCAAAGGCACCGATTCCCCAGCCCCACCCCTAGACACCTACATTCAGCAGCCGAGAGTGGGGCCCCGGAATCTGCATTTTAACAAAGAGCCCACTGCCTGTGTCTACCTGCCGGTCAGGGCAGAGGTGAGGAGAATGCAGAGAAGCAAGGGCAGCATTATTACTAGGATCAGCGCCCAGGAGGCAGTCTCCAGGGATAGCAGGGTCCTGTGGGGACAGGACACCAGGACTAGAGCGGAGGGGCTGCGGCCACTCACTTATCCTGGGCAAATACTGCCCCCGTGAGGCCATAGCTCGTGGTGCTGTCGACCAGCCTCAGCGTCTCTTTGTACTTGTCATCCGGGTAGACGTACACGGTCAGCACAGGTCCGAAGATCTCCTGGGAGAGAAGCCCCAGGGTCAGGCCCCACCTGGACCAACACCCCGAGGCCTCCCGTCTCCCTGCTCTGGCCTCCGCCTCTC